TTAAAAATATTTTATTTTTTTATTTTATGTGAATAAGTGTATTCCCTTCATGTGTCATGTGATGCCTGCAGAGGTCAGAAGAAGGTTTGGATTCCCTTGGAACTGGAGTTACAGACAGTTGTCAGCTGCCATGTGGGTGCTGGGAACCAAATGGGGTTTGGTTCCACAAGTCCTCGGTCCTCCACAAGAATGGCCAGTGCTCTTGATCATTGAGCCGTCTCTTCAGTGCCTGATCATCATTTTTTAAGGCTCCTGTGTCAAGCAAAACTGATCAAATCATTCTGATGCTTTTCATCTGTTAACTTATCTTTCATTATATGAGTGCTGGCTGTGACTCAATAGGTAAGGAGAAATAGAACACTTCTCTGCCCCTGTTGTGGCAAGTTGCAGGCAAACACCCATCCCTCATTATTTATTTATCTGAAAATTCCTTTTCCTCTATGCCCTTTGTACTATGTTATGAGTGATGTGTTGATCAACAAGAAAAACTACCAAACCAATGTCTTGAAATGAGGCCAATCTTGATGGACTAAGCATCAGCCCTGAGAACTGCAAGCCTTTGCGATCTCTCTCTCTCTCTCTCTCTCTCTCTCTGTCTCGACAGTATCACAGTATATAGCCCAGGATGACCTCTACTTCGCTGTGTAGACCTTGAACTTTTCATCTTCCTGACTAGCATCCTAGTGCTGGGATTACAGGCATGTCCCATTATGGCCATCCTTGTTTGGTTTTCTATCTTGCATCAGAAATAGTTGCTCCATCCAAGTGAGTGCAGGGTCTTACCACTTAACTACTAACTTTCTAACGTGTGCTATGAGACTACCCCTGTGTGGAAGAGACACCCCTGAAGAGCACGTCCGCAGCTCAATTGTGTGCATGAATAATGATTTTTCAAGCAAAGATGCTGTTAAAGAAAGGCTGCGCAGGAGACCCCAGCAGTTTTTTCATAAGACTGTAGACAAGGCTTTGGAGGGAGTTTAAGATTGTGTCCTCGCCTTTGCATACTCTGTCCTATAGATTAGCTATGATTTATTTGACAATTTATAGAAAACCTCAAATTTATTGAAATCATGGTGTGGTGTTCCTGGTACACAAAGCCTTTTGACCTTCAAGTGAAAAAAACTGGAGTGCAAAGTGCATGGAGGTGAGTCAAGCTTTTCCTTGTGGAAGAGGAGCTGGAGGAAAGGTCAGGAAAGAAGGTGGTAGGAAAACAGAGAAGAAAGGAGCCCGTATTCACAAAGGCTATGGGGGTGATGACGATGCTAAGGCAAGACACAATGGGACCATTTCATCTTCACGTGCCCTTAACAAAATTACCTGATTTTTATCAGAGGGTGGTAGATTGTGAGATCTTTCTAGAAAGGTGAACTGCCATGTGTATAAGGCTACAGGTAATGAGAAAGTCACTGATCTTGTGATTTCCAACACTCCTGAGAACGGAGGCTTTGTGTCACAATTATAAGTGTCCGCTTGTGTGGACTAGGGAGACTGGCTAGTCTTGACTTGTTTCTGTTTTCTTGGAAGACTAGGCAGGGGAACTGAATTTTCTTTGCCTCTGGCTGCCTTTGGGGTCTATGTAGAAATGACACTATATATACCTTAGTATGTTTGGAGTTTATAATTGACTGAGCATTACAAATTTCTCAGTGAAAAAGTTTTTGTATAGCATTGACATCTTAATCTAATCCCCATCTTTGTGTGTCTAACCACTTCGTATCACTCTGGTGCTAGGGCTCGAACCCAGGTCTCTAGCATGTTAGGCAAGCACTCTACACTGAGCTATATCCTCAGCCCTTTTTTTATCTCTTGTCTTTAAAACATTCTTTGTTCTTGAAGTATGTTATTTCTTCTGTTATTTGAAGAGTCAAATAAGGACTCTAAAAGTATTTTTTATTAGAAGGCTAAAAATAACCATTTTACTTAGTTTTGGCCAAAAACAAAAATATGTGATCTATGATACCAATTGACTGGGAAACTCACATTACAGCTAATTAATTTTAATATTCTGTAGAAAAAGTCAAAGCTATTACATAGAAAGCTTTATATGAAATGACAGCTTCAGTTTAACAGTGCTGAATTCATGTATTGGCTGTGTTCACCCTTAGGACTGATTTCCAATACACTGTCAAAAATGAATTAGTTGGGCTGGAGAGATGGCTCAGTGGTTTAGAACACTCACTGTTCTTGCAGAAGAACCGGATTCAAATCCCTGCACCCACATGGCAGCTAACAACTGTCTGTAACTCCAGGGGATCCAACAGCCTCTTCTGTCCTCTGCAGGCAATGCGTGACACGGGTGCACCTACCTACACGCAGGCATAATACACATAAAATAAAAATAAGAAAAAAAATTTTTTTTATTGAATTGGTTAAGAACAATGCTTTAAAATGTCTGGATTCTGTATAGCTACTTTTCCTATTGTGATAAAATACCCTGAATAAAGCAACTTGAGGGAAAAGGTGTATTTTTGCTCACACTTTGAGTCAGTCATGGCAGGGAAATCGTGGTATCAGGAGAGCTAGGCAGCTCACCTTGTGTCACGCTGTGCGGATGAACGACCAGCTCCGAAGACTTCTTCTTTTTATGCAAGCCAGAACCCAAGTTGTTGGAGTGGCACTGCTGTTTTCATGGTGGGTCTTCCTCTCTCTTAACCTGGAGAATCCCTCACAGGCATGACCAGAAGCTAATACAGCCATCTTACAAGCACTCCAAGAGGCTTGTCTCCTAGGTGATTCTAGATTCTGTCAAGCTGGCAATATTACCTATAACAGATTCAAACTTCTATTTGTTTTGCTGTATTCTGCTTTGGTTTGCATTGTGAGGCAGGATCTTGCTTCTTAGTTCAGGCTGGCCTGGAACTTGTAATTCTCCTGCTTCAAACTCCGAAGTCCTAGGGGGCATCCCAGCTTCTTAACTGAACTGTGAAATTCACTGTGTTTTCAAGTAAGTCTTAAAAGAAGCTTTTTCATGTTACAATGACAAAGACTCTTTTCTTGGCTAAAGTTTAATCAGTACATTGTGTACATGCATGTGGTCGGCATATCTGTGTGCTTCCTTTAGAAAATCCAAGTTTTCAAAGGTTTAAATAAATATTTTTATTACTTCTTTGAGCACTTCATACAATGTATTTTGTTTATATTTCTCCCTCTCCCAACCCCTCCCAGATCCACCCTTACCTCCCTACCCACCCAATTTCGTGTGGTTTCTCTGTTTTGGTTTGGTTTTTGGTCCTGCTGAGTCCAATATGTGTTGCCCAGATACTCTTGGGTGTGGAACCTGACCTGGATTGTGGTCAAGGAAGGGTAGAAAATCCGGTTTTAACCAAGTACACAGCACATTTAGTGTCGAATAAGCCCCTCCCCCCACCTACGTAAGCAGGCCCCTGTCTTCCAACAGCCCTCCTCAGAAGATTCCTGAATACCCTAGGCTCTCTAATTAGGCCTCCTGTTGGGTTGGCTTAGACAGACTCCTCAGTGTGCTGAAGTTTCCTTGGGGATTTCCCTCCGACTCTGCTCCATCCACCACCCCCACCCCCAAACCCCGGCTTTCAGTCTTCCCTCCAGCTGCCTGTGGAGTTGAACCTGGTCTCTTTCCTCGGCAAAGTTTCACTGCAGTGGTCCTCACGTCATGGCCTGATCCTGAATAAAGCCTTTGCTGTGCTTTAACAAACCCTGTCACAGAACGGCCTTTTCTTTAACGGCAATTAAAATGTTGCTATGCAGCATGCGACCCTTCTAACGTGTCTGGAGGCTGTTTTCGAGAATGAATTTACAAAGCACTCAGTAGACAGGAATTAACCTTCTTTGCAGTAAAGAATAATTCAGTTATAGGAGAAGAAATGAAAAGGCTTCTTAACTTGATTTTCAAGTTAGATTTATTACTAATATAATCCAGATTTTCAGTATGCATCTTTCAAATACAGTGTTTTGGGAAAAACAGAAGAAATGCTAATTAGCTAATTAACAGGAAAACAGAATTCTTTTGATAAAAAGTATGAACTATGTAGCAGTTTCTTCTCCTTTGAGTAGAAATCAAGTGTGGAAATCCTTTTCTTAAAACAAACATCCATGTTGTAATTCTTCTCTATTTATTATAACAGGCTATTTGATAAAGTTTTAAATCATTAATACATATATAATTAAGCCCTAATAAGTCAATGCTTTCCAAGAGGTGTGATAATGCCAAGCATGTGACATTCAAAGAGAAAGAGACAAGAGTCTGTGCGGCCATCACAGCAAGCACATCATCACTAACAGACACTTTACACATGTGATGGTATGATATTGAAACGCGATGGGAGGAAAGTGCTGGCATGCTCTACCTTTACAGAAGGTTTGTGTTTTGTTTTGGAATTCTATGAGATTCTATAGCATCTCACTATATAGCCCTGGCTAGCCTGGAATTCACATGGAAACCATGTTGCCCTCAAACTGACAGAGATCCGCCTACCTCTGTTTCCCAAATGCTGAGGATAAAGGCATGTGACACTACATCCCATCTGGAGGATTTTTTTAAAGCCCAGTAAAGCACTGTGATTGCTACTGCTTGAAACACGTCTTACAGCAAATGTGGTATGCATTTCAAGGCAATACCTCTTGTCTGTAGGTGCTATTATTTGGAAAATGAGACCAATTCAGTTTATTGTTATCAAAGCAATAGATAATGGAACTCAGTGTGGCAGTGTGACTGTAAGCGATGGAACTTTATCTTTTTCAGGTGGGCTAGAGAAAAATACCCACACGTACTTGGTGAGGATGTGCAATGGTACGTTTGCTTTTCAAAACTGTTATCTATAAAGTTTAACGTCTTGAAGCGTTGATTTCTGATAGACACTCGTGTCCTGTGAGTACACACAAAGCTTTTCTGCCATGAACTACTTATCTTTTTATGTTTATAATAAATTCAGAGAGCTCAATACAAATAATAATTTTCCTGTAATATAAGTGAAGAGGGAGAAGTGCATTTTATAGTAATATTTAGATTAAAACACCTGCTTCTATTTTAAGTCTAATAAGTTTCTGTAAATAATATATTGTGAATCAACTGATGGAAATAAAGTTCAGCACTTATGAAAGAAAGCAGTGAGATAGAATATGAACCCCCAGAATAAAGTCTTTCCTGTTAAATTCCCTGTTTCTTAAAGCATTCTAATGCAGAATGATTCAGACACTACATAAATTTTTAAATTAGTAAAGATCCTATGTGGGAGTTTTTTGGTACTCTGATCACCTGGTATACTCTTTTAAGAGTCCACAGAAAACTCTTGGAAACCACAGAATTCTATTTTATACTTCAAAAGAATCAATACTGTATCAGTTAACACTATAACAGTATAGCAATGAAATTTTTGTTCTTGTTTTTCTGAGCAGAGTCTCACTTGCAGCCCAGGCTGGTCTTGAATTTGAGGCAATCCTCCTACCTCAACCTTCCGAGTACTGGGGCTGCAGACACAAGCTACTGCACCCCCCTAACAATAAACAATAACACTTTAGAAGTATTTATCTTTTTTTTCTCTGTATAATTGAACAAGTTCGCATCTGGCCATCACTACCACAAGTAGAACTTAATGTGATTTCTTCAAATTTTTTTTTTTTAAGCTTTCAAGGTAAAGGAGCCATTATGATGTCATAGTTTTAAAAGTTTTATTCTGTGAAAGATACCATTATATGTTAAGATGAAGAATTAAACAGAAAGGCATACCAAATTATCACTTTTAAAAGGCCAAGAAAGTTTTAAACACTCAAGATTTTTAAAATTAAGAAATGATCTAAATAAGCTTGGTTATGATGTGAACTCCTTCGCATTTCCTATTCATTGCTGTTTGCTCTCTTCCAGGGTCCTGCTAACAGGGCATGGGTCATGGGGTAGACGGAGCAGCTGTCCGACTTCCTTTCCACACCCTCACTGCAGCTCCCCAGAGAAGCAGCACTTGCTGTGTAGGCTTCTGTGGCATGTTTCCTGTACCAAATGAGCAGTCAGGACCTATACTTGCATAATAATGGGCATATTCATCCACTACTTCCTTAAATCCCTTAATACTTTTTCCTGTACATCAACTCTCATTCCACTTAACACATAACACAAAACCTGCCACTTAGAAATTCCTTTGGGACTCTTAGTGATGCATGTCATGACACTAATATCTAATCCACTCTAAACATAATCTGATATTTATGTAATGAGTAACAGAACTTAAAAATGCATCAAAGTTCATTCTACCCACAAGATCACAATATCAGAGTTGTGGAGGATTTAGGATTAGGCAATCCAGTCTTCTCATTTGGCAGATGAGGAGAATCAAACCAGAAGTCTTCCTGTGTCAGGCTGCTTTTAAATAGACTGGAAATAAATCCAATACTTAAAACCTGTTTCTCCCGCACTATTTACCCCCAAAGCCTATCTGAGTTCCTTTCTAAGAACATTTTATTTCAGCCTGGTATAGTGGTGCCTACCTGTAATCACGCTTTGGAGGCTGATGCAGGAGGATTACATGAGTTTGAGGACAGCCTGAGCTACAAAAGGAATACCAAGTAAGCCAGGTGTACTCAAGGAGACAAAGGAGAAAGAACAATTCTATTTCAATTCTTTTTTAAAAATCTGAATTAAATCTAAAAATATTTTAGAGAAATATTTAAAATAACACCAAGGAAATTCTCTTCTGTATAATCATTATTTATCGTCATGCTCTCTTTAGGTATTTCCCCTAATGGGAATGATGGGAGCCCAGTGGGGGAGACAGGTGGCTCCGGAAGGTGAGTCAGGGAATGGATGAATTAGAACAAAGTATAATGGCACCTATGTGTAAGTATGCCGTAATGAAACCCCTTCCTTTTTAAGTTAGCATACCACATTATAGTAATTCCTTATTGTTCGAAGGCACATACAGGAAAATATTTGGTTTCACTGTAATTGAGCAAAGTTGAATTGCACAGGACTCCTCAACAAATAAAATTAAGATTTTGCATTATAATGAATTACGTGTAAATGCCGGAACATTAATGCAAAATATTTTAATTTTTCTTGAGACAGGGTCTTTATGTAGCCCAGGCTGGCCTCAAACTGTGTACCCAAGAATGATCTTGAATTCCTGATCTTTCTGCCTCCACCTCACAAATTCTGAGGTTACAGGTATGCACCACCATGCCCAGTTCAGAAAATGATTCTTGTCTTTCAAGAAATTCCTTATGCATCAGCAGAAAAGGAAGTGGTTTGCAATCATGTGAGTGCGCGCATGCACGCACACACTCAGATAAGTGACCTGTGAGAGTCATAAAGGATTAAATATGGATCGAATGCTATTGAAAAGAACCTTGCAAAGGACCACAAACATAAACAAAACCCACTCCGTGGTCACATTAGCTTTCATGGTTGGTGTCGCCATCCCCTTGGGTGTGGGTTATAATTGCAACCAGCTACTGGAACACAGTATTCAGACCTGGTCTCCATAGGCATTTTTTCTGAATCATTTCTGGACTGTTGCCTGTACCATGTGTATGGCAACTGGGAACCATACAAGGAGTGGGTGGACATGTGGCTGTTACCTAGGGACGCAGCATTACACTTTTGCCTTTCATAGAAGCTCATGTTGGTTTTCTGGGATTGAGGGACATGAGATAGTCCCGCTTTCCAGTCCTCTTGGGACCCTGAAAACATCTTCCTTCGAGCTGCCGAGACCACATTTGCAACAATGGATTCCTGGATGTTTCTGGGTCTGAAGGCATCATCCGCTAGACCAAGAGGAGACTTAGCTGCTACTTCCCAAGGTGTTGGCATCTTGTTGGCTTTCTCCAGTCCCTCTGTTGGTTTGCCAGAGTAACTGTAGGCAGGCTGGAACAGCCCGGGACATACAGAAATGATGGGTGGGACTGATCTTCCAGGAAGAGAAAGGGAGCGCCCACTCTCCTAAAAGCAAAGAAAATGTTACTGCATCTCATTCATTTGTTTGCACTTATTATTGCCAAGTGCCCACAGCACCATTACCAAGCACTGCAAAAAGAATAAGCCCACGATGCTCAGTCCTAAGGTCTGGACAGGTTGTCTCACTTAGCCTGACTCCTGCATCCCTCACTTGTCCCTCTGTGCTCCCTCTCGGCTGGCTTTCATGGTTTACACCGCTGTCATCTTTCCCAGGCTACCCAGTGGCAGGAGCCTCCAATTCCCTGCCTTCCACACACTCACATCTCCATCTATAGCCTACTTGCTTCATTCCAGCCCTGGTTTTCTGGCACGAAATAAACAACAGGGATAACCCCCAAAACAGGTCACAAACTACTAAGATTTTTACTTTTCCCTAGTGACTTTTAATCTCTTATCTCAGTTTGGGTCACTGAATGTTACAAAAACAAGCATGAGCTACTTAGGAGTACTTAGTCACCATCACGGTGGAGTGACTGGCAATTTTCCTCTCAGAATCTATTTATGTAATGAAGACCACATGGGCCTTTATTGCATTTCTTTCCTCTCTCTCTCTCCTTTCTTTCCTTCTTTCTTTGTTTTTGAGACATAGTTTCACTCTGTAGTACAGGGTGGCCTTGAGGAATCTCAGGACATTCCTTCTGCCTTGGTCTCCTGAGTGCTGGGATGGCAGCTCTGAGCCACCACACTCTTGTGGACCCAGGGACCCTGAATTCTGGCTTTCCTCGTTACTGTCCCCTATGTTTATTCCTGTTTGCAGGAGACTGGATAAGACAAACTGCAGGAAAAAGAAACATGGGGGATGGGAGAACTTAAGAGCTGGGAGCAGGAAGATCGGGAGCTCAAAGTCAGCCTCGGCTTCGTAAGGAGTTAGAAGCCAGCCTGGACTACATGAGACTCTTGAAACTACACAGCCACACACACACACAATGGAGAAAATGTTTGTTGAACACAAAGCCATGCTTTAAAGTATATCCAGACCTCCAGAATAATTTCAAAACATTTCTCTCTTGATTAAGTAAATGGCAACACTTGGATTTGGGCAAAATATCTCAGATGCAAATGCTTTTGCGTCTGCGCAGCGCCCCCCTCCAGGCACGCATGGCAGATGGCCGATCCTTGATCTGTGTGTATGGGAGTAAGGAATCTATACAATGGATCTTGGTTCTCGCTTTTTAACTGAAACTTTCCTATGATGGTTGAATCCTAGGAAAAACTTTTTTTAAATTAATCTTCTTATCTTAATCCAGAGTTACTTATAAATTCTCTTTACCATAGAGTTGGCAAGGGAAGAAGGGTGACTTTCAGTCACCTATATTACATTAAAATTTTTGATAACAAAATTGTATATATCCCACATTATTCATGTATTTCTTTCAGAAACTTCTTTAACAATTTTTTGGTGGAGCACCCAATATTTCCAAACACTGTTCATGAGCTAAAGGTGTGAAGACAGTAAAATCCATGAGGTACGTGATCCAGAGCTATTTTACCTCCCCCAGGCAGGTCAGTCAATCACACAGTGAAAAGATGCTCTTCCCTATCTTGACAGGAAGAAATAAGGGATTTTTTTTTCTAAACTGTGAAAAAAGATTGGGTATGAGAAAGTGAAAGTTAGCTGTCCCTTAGCATGTCTCTATCTCCCTTGTTTTGTAACCGGTCTCTGGGAAGGTTTTGAGAGTTCAACGATACCTTTAGAGGATAATAACTGGTACCCCATAAGCACCTGCTACAGTCAATTTTAAAACACAGTTGAGGGGATGGTGATAGACAAAGGAATCCAGGGCTCTATAGAAAAATAAGACAGGCCCTGCACATACACGTGGACACACACACACACACACACACACACACACACACACATAGTATTAAGCATGTGAATGTACATACTGCTGTCATGAGATATCCAAAATACTGGCTGAAAGAAACTTATTTTCTGCTCCTTCTCCCAACTCAGTTTGAAAATCTTAAGAAGATTTGGAACTTACTAGAAATTAGGAAGTTCAAAAATATTTCCAGTGATGTCCTAGTAAGAAAGATAGGAGACTTTTTTTCAGGTAAAGCATAAATGTTAATTAGCCAAGCAAGTACAGAGAAAGTAAAAGTTCCAGGTGTGATATTTAAAAAGAAAGTCAGGGCTTCCTGAAGAGAAATTAAAAATCGTATTGAAGATCAAATAAATTTCCACATAGAATGCACATTTGACAAATAAAAGACATTGTTGATTGTAAGGAAGAAAGCGTAAGGAGCTCAGTGAACAGTGCAAAGATGGCTCATGTGCGTGTCCCTCAGAAGCTTCGTGGAGCAGCTCCACACGGGGATAAAATGGTAAACCACCATAGGCTGGAGACTCAGCTACGACGTAACTTGTCTTAGGCACAGAGTTGTGTATGTGTGCGCCCCCAGTGTTGCCTGGTTCTAGTCTCACGTTCATGTAAAGCCTTCATTTTAAATGTTCACATCTTGTTCCATGGTATCATTTCCTTCCGTCCATCTCTGTCCCAAGGCTCCTGCTGCTCCTGCCTAGCTGACTAACTGAAGCTACAAGACAGAACTTGAGTCAGAAACAACCAAAAATCCTGAAAATACCAGAGGTGTTTCTTTCAGTTTGAAGCTTGCATGTCAAGTGGTAGAATCCAGCATCACCTCTGGGACTATTGCTTGTACCATGGGCTCTATTATTACCAAAGGAATTTTCTAAATGTTTTTATTTTTTTATTGTGTGTGTGATGGGGTGTGTGAAGGTGTGTGTGTGTGTGTGTGTGTGTGTGTGTACCACGGTATGCAAGAGCAAGAGGATGGAAGTCAGGGACAACTTTCAGGAGCTCTCTCTTGCTGTGGGATCTGAGGACTGACCTCATGTCAGGTTTATATGGCAAGTGATTTTACCTGCAGAACCATCTTGCTAGCCTGGAATTAAAATTGGTTTGTTTTTTGTTTGTTTGGTTGGTTTTTTTTTTTTTTTATTAGAGAGCATCTATTATTTATCAGTGACTAGTATGTTGAATTGGCTTTCCTGGTGACCTCATCAAGTTGTTCTCTTTTTGCCCTCCATTAACCTTTAAGATATATTTAATGAAAGATGTCTTTCTGCTGTCAGTGGGTAAAAACTTAGCTTGTTTTTAGGAATATTTCTGCAGCTATTCAAATTTCACTAACTAGCCTTATTTTCAACTAGAAGCTTCCACCCACCCCCTGTCCAAATTGAAAGTGAAATCTCCTGCCCCTTCCCCGCTGTGTCTTAAGGCTCACCTTCCCTAGGTAAGGGGTGGAGGTAGCCCTTCTCTCTTTCCCTCCTCTTAGTCTCCAAATTTGCCAACTCTGACCCACGGGGATGAAGGGCAAGGATGAGGAGGAACAGAATCAAAGTTTATACTTGACTTGTGTCTTATTTGCTCTCTATTGCTGTGATTAAAAACACTGACCAAAACTAACTCAGGGGAGAAAGGGTTTATTTTATCTTACATCTCCTGGATCACAGAAGGGAGCCCAAGCTACAAACTCAGGGCAGGAACCTGGAGGCAGGAGCTGAAGCACTGACTGTGGAAGAATGCTGCTTACTGACTTGCTCCTTTGGCCTGTGCTCAGCCTGCTTTCTTATATAATACAAGACTACCTGCCCAGGGGTGGCACCACCCACAGTGGGCTGGGCCCTCCCATATCACACAACAATCAAGAAAATGCCCCACAAACATGACCACGGGCCAGTCCAATGGAAGAAATTCCTCAATTGAGAGTCTCTATACCCAGGTGTGTCAAATGGACAACTAAAGTGATCCAGCACAATTGACCTCTTGTCAAATTGATACACAAACAAATCACTTTAAACCACAACTCTTCCTTTTCTTATTCTCAAGATTTCTTGTTAATATTAATATTACAACATGAAATAGTACAACTTTAAGAGTCACACAGTCTTTAAAAATCCCAAAACTATAAAACTTCAAAGTTTCCTTAAAGGTGATCTCAGCAGACCACCAGAGAGTACGGGTTCTGGCCTCCCTCTGGCATAGGGGATGAGAATGCAGGGGACTGCCTGAGAGCACCCAGATCCTGCCTCCATGGGGTGGTGAACTTCCCCTAATTGTACCATATCCATTCCCCTACCTGAGATTTCATGAGGCCCCATGCAGACCTGGCTTCCATAGGCTAAGGTTGAGAACCTGACAGACAGCCTGAGAGGGTGGGCTCTGACTTCCATCGGTATAGCAGCTATGATCTCAGCACACCAACAGAGAGTGCCAGATTCTGGCCTCCCTCTCACATAGGGGCTGAGGACACAGACCAACGGAGAATGCCCCCCGCCCCGACCGTAGGGAATTTCCCAAATTTTCTCTGAGTTCCTACTAATAGGAGTCCAAACCTTAGAAGAAAGCCTGAGTGTTCCTGACTTGAATCTGATTTGGGCTTCTATGGGTTCCCCTGAATAGTTGATCTGAAGCTATCAGTTCCCTCCAAAATAAAACCTAAGAGAACCTGCAACCTGTACCAATCAGCTTTACAGAACCAATAAGGAAAGGACCTAGGCACCCTGATAATACAAACAGAAGCATACTTCAACTTAATTCTCATATCAGAATCATAAACAACAGAAGAAATTCACATGCCAAAATCACAATGAAAGAATAATAAAATGGAAAGCCAAAACAATATGACCCCACCAAACTCCACCATTCCTGTAGAAGAGTTCTAAAAGGAGAACCCCCTAGAGATAACCCAGGACACTGAATTTAAAAGAACAATCATAAACATGATCAAGGAATTCAACGAATTTAAAGAACACATGAACAAACAAATCAAAGAAGTAAAAGAAGATAGGGATAAACTTCTGAATGAATTCACAAAACAGGAACATTGAAGAAAACTCAGGCAGAAATGAAGAAGGAAGTAAAAACTCAATAAGCCAACTTGAAACAACAGGAGAAAGCCTCACCACTAGAATGAATGAAATGGAAAACAGAATATCAACACTGGAGGATAAAGTTGAA